GGTTTATGAATTCACAATTATTTTTAAATTTTATTGTGCTTTAGTTGAAAATTTACAGCTCAATTTAATTTCTCAGTCAAAAATTTATGCACATATTGTTTTGTGACATTGGTTGCAATCCCCACAATGTGCCAGCACGTGAATTCATAAAATTTAATCATTCCATAATTCTCAGTTCTACTACTTTTAAAACAGAGCAAAGTATGGTCAACTAAATTATATTTATCAAGAACAATTTTAAAATAAAGTGATATACTAAATGGGACCACTGAGTAAAAAATTAAAGTGAACAATGTGCTATTAACATTTTATAAAATGATCAAAAAACAAACAAAAACCAAAATTTGAATATTTGATACATATATAAAACTTTTTAGTACTGCTTACCTTCTTGACCTGCTCCTCTCTTCAAAGAGATCATTTTAAACAAAAAGGAGGGAGGGAGGGAAGGAAGGAAATACCAAAAAAGGGAGATGTTAAAAGAAAGAAGTAGGGAGAGAGAGAGGAGAAGGAAGGAATAAAGGAAGGAAGGAAGGAAATTCCCATCACTTTCTTGTTCTGCTTTAAATAATTTTTTACAAGGAAAGTCTTGGTTTGACCAAATCTTCAAAACCTTGCTACAACCAGAAACTCTATGAGCTGTGTGCAGATTTTTCTCTGGAGAACAGATTTCCTTTTTCTACAATGTGCTGTTCAACTTCTCTTCCTGTCTAATGACATGTAATGTGCTGTGTGCTATTTATAATTCTAAATTCACTGACTTGTATGCAAGAGGCACAACATTTCTTTAGCACATCACTGAAACAGACTGTGTGAAGTCTAACTGTATCAGTGGAAAACAATGAAAATGCAAGAGATGAATTTCATACATGAAGGACTACAGAAAAACTCAAGAAAGCAGATGGAAACTGATGCCAGTATTGGACAGGCTGAAAATGTGTTTAATCCTTGTCCTTATGAGGTGTTGGAACTCAGGTACCACTGGCTGCCCTTTGGAATAATGAATGAAAAGTAGCTCTTTCTTCTAAAACTAGCAGACCCACAGATCTTACCACGTGTTCATGTTCCGTGTGTGCTGGGGGTTGGGGGAGTATCTAGGATGTTGAAAGCAGGTGATTACATCTCAAACAGGGTCACCCTAGCTGAGGCAGCACAGTGTAGTGATTGGGAAGATGGACTTCGCAGCCAGAGAGACCTGAATTCAAGTCCTGGCGCCTTCAGCTCCTATGGCCCCAGCTGAGTCATCTGACCTCCCTAGGTCTCCATTTTTTTATCTATAAAAAGAAGATAATAGTCATAGTTCTCCCATTGAGTTGTTAATAGATTCAAATGAGATTCGCCTGGTCTGTAACTGTTTACTAAATGTTATTATTGTTATTATTACTTTGGGATAAATGGAGTCATTATTACCTAGAAGGCACTCAGTGCCGCTAAAAACTTCATTAATAGTTTAATACTTCCACTAAATAGAAAAAACTCAACTTCTAAATTATTTTCCATAGAAACAATCTATTGATGTATGCTTTCTTCATAGGCAGCAGCCTCAGTGTTTTCTCTTGTAAAACTGAGAGCTGATTTGGTTGATATAACTAATCAGTATGAAGTATACACCTCTCTTTAGTGTCAAATCTTTACTCCTCCTCATCTCAATGAAGAAAGAGCTTGCTCCAGTGAGATGTTGTCATGGTTTGAATTATGTCCCCCCAAAAATGTGTGTATCAGTTTGGCTAGGCCATGATTCCTGGTACTGTGTGATT